GGCGGATGAAGCGGCGCTAGGGTTTTCGACCTACAAAAGATTCGGACCGATTTTCATTTTTCGTCTTCTCCGCGTTAGCTACATGCAGTATTATAATGAGCTACCTTGATGATGCTCATCCACAACAATTGTGCGGACTTGCAAGTGTACGATTAAGCAACCTCGAGTAGATGAAAACGCCTAAAATTTCCACTTTTGGTTGGTTAGTTCGGACTGTTCTGATGAGTCCAGAGCGCGCAGTACTTTCTAGATGGTTTCATAAGCATTCTCTGGGATGGCAAATGACTGGAACAACAACCAAAGGCCCAAAATCGCGCTCTTGCTTATCCTTATCCAGAAGAACAATACCCGCTCAACGTGTATGGTCATCCACATTAATGCCTCTTCTTCGAACACAGTGAGATGTTTAGAAGTAAAGTTTTCAATATGGAGAGTCAACCCCGGTCCAAGCGCTGGTGGGTAACGAAGGGTTTTTTGAATTGAGATGTATGGAGGTGATTCGAATGTATGTCGTGAAAAATTGACCGTATGCTACGGTTGCCTTCGCTGATGGCTTGAATGGAACCTGGTTCGTATTCGGGTGCCTGCGCCCTTGTTCGGGGTATTCAGGTTCCCCATCGATTCAATGGTGGCCGAGTGGGCTACGACAAGCTCTGCGAGGCTTTGTTCATGTGGACGATCGAGATCGATTTGCATTGAAAGTGACGGTGATGAATGACTTACCCATAGTGAAACCTGAAAGAAGGGTTCCGCCGAAACTTTTGCAGCTGGTTTCTCCATTTTCCACATATGGATATATGGACGCTTTCACAGTGCACCCCGGTAGGTTTCACGGCGATTCAAAGGGATGTGGTATTGGAAAAACAGATGAGACTTGGTCGTAGTTGGGTTAGAGACCGAAGTGGATGAGAGTCAATCTAGGCCAATGATATTGTCATTCGATGATGGACATTGTAGTGAGAGAAGACTGGGCCGGCATCGGGAGGTACGTGGCCGTATGAGTCAGTCTCCAACGACGATCACTGGTGGAGTATGGGTGCCATATGCTTGAACCCGAAGGGAGGCGCTGAAAGGAAGAGAGCCGGAGAGAGACTACCGGTATTTTGTAGGAATGGAGGGAAGAAAGAAAAAGTCGGAGCAAGTATCGGGCACTTAATTGTGATAAGATATGCGAACAAGTACGGGTGTGCATACCCATATAAGGGCAAGACCCGAAACAACGGGACTTGTTTATTTTGGACCCAAAATATCAAGGCTAAAACAGACCATTCTCGAGGTATAAAGACACCCGACCCCCTCCCCTTGTTCTTCTCCTCTCTCTGTCCGTCGTACCCCTTCATCCTCTCTTACCTCTCGGGACTGTCTTCTCTCGACATCGCGATCAACTTACTCGGTCCCGACCCCGACGACTGCGACTGCGAGTGACTCCCCCATCCACCGCCACTCCTTGGATACTTAAACCCCCCCTTGATCATCGATGGAGTACACCAGCTACGGTGAGACATTGACAAAATCACGTCAGCCATCTGGCGATAGTTGGATGCATAGCTGGATGCCCTTGCCCATCTCCTCACCCACCATTCCCTCATCCACTTCTCTCGTCAACGCCCAGGCAACTATCGTCTCCCCTCTGTCTTTCTTCAGTGGTCAGTCTCGTAGTGATTTCCATTTAGACTGCCCAGTGCATCTAAACGTTAACCTCACAGATCAAACCATGCTCTCAATGCCCGATCACGACTATGCCGACCATCTCCAGGCTCTCGCATCCTCCCAACGCATCTTCTCTCAACCACAGTACAAGCGATCAGTCATAAATCATCAGCAGCAGCGCCGTCCCTCAAATGTGGCGCCGGCATCTCATCAGTACGACTTTGATCACGCGTCCTCGACCCTTTTGGATACCGGCTCCGCCTCTTCCTCCGCCGACGATTTCAATATCAAAGCAGAGGACAAATCGCCTTCGTCGTTGTCCAATCATGTACACAGCTTATCCCTCTCGGACGCTCTCGCCCGCGATCGTCTTGCTGTCTCTGCCACTTATTCCCCCGATATCACCAACACTGGCACTACAATTCTCACGCAGTCATTCTCTACTCCCTCTCCGGATGCCAATGGCGATATCCCGAATGGTCCTTTGATTGATGGCGGATACGGTGGAAGCATCTATCGTCAATATGGTGGTGCTACGTCACCTCTAGAGTCATCTCCCATGACGGCGTCCTATTCCAGCCCTTCACTCGTTGATGTGCACCCTTACCCAATGCAGCGCGCATCCTCATTCGCTGTTAATAATTCGATCTTCGATAGTTCTTCGCTCGGAACAGGGTTGGGTAGTATGACTGGCATTCCACGTTCTCCTTCTCCTTCTCGTCTCCCATTCTTAAACGTGGCTCCTTCGTCTGCTCCTTCGGCTTATCACAGGCCTCATTTCACTCATTCGGGTGACGAGCTGACACGGCATGCTACCAACTCTCCAGAACATTTGGACTTCGATTCAGCACCTCATAGTGGAATTGGCACCTTCGACAGCGTTTTGACTTTGGGAGAGCTCCATAGCGATGCTCTATTCACCATGAACGAGGATATTGAAGAGAGCATGGGCTTGCCCATGTCTCCCCCCCGAATGCACAATTCATTCGATACCATCAAGCCAGGAATGTCATTTGTCCCCTCATCGGTTCCGTCATTCACTCCCATTTCAGATGTTTTTCCACATTCCTCTTCCGCTCCATCGAATTCTCATCTTACCAATACGCCCCCGCAGTCCCACGGTCGCCGGCTTTCTTCTCAAGTCGTGCATGACCAAATGGACACCATGGGCGCTGCTGGGCCCTCGAGAACCAAGAGGCGGAGCATGGATGCCCGTAGGGGTAGCTTCACCAGTCCTCTGGGAATCAGGAGAGCTTCCAGTGGCGTCCTGAGGCGTCAGAGCATGTCTGATCCTTCCACATCTTCACCCACACACGGCAATGGCATCGCCTCGCATCCCTCAGTTGGTCCTTCCCCCTCAATGACAGCGCAGGCAATGCGCTTACTTGAGGAAGTTGGAGGTGACCCTGAAATCTCGAAGAAAAGTCGGGGACGAAGAGTCCCAAATCTTCGGGATGGTAGTGTGGTGACTCCAATGTCGGGATCTGCTCTGGATGACTCTGCGCTTGATGACAGTGTTGCTGAGAATGACGATGATGTAATTTTACATCCATCCACGAGGGGCAGGGGTAAGAAGCTCGCGCCTTTGAAGAAGATGTCTAGAAGAAGTTCGGCCAATAGCGTCGGGAAGAAAGCTGAAGAACCTAGTGATCCATCTAGACCACATGTTTGCCCTATTTGCTTTGGTACATTTGCTAGAAGCGAGCATCTCAAGAGGCATTTGCGAAGTCTCCATTCTGAGAACAAACGTAAGTATAATGATCACGAGTCACCCAACCAATCTGCTGACTCTACTTTGATTTAGCCAACGTTTGCGAGTACCCCGGATGCGGAAAAACGTTCAGCCGCAAGGACAATCTTCGTCAACATATGCAGACTCATTCCAAGGGCAAAGGTGCCGGAAGCAGCAATGGACGAAGCAGAGCTCGATCGGCAGCTAGTGCGGCCGCCAGCTACGATGACATTGATTCAGAGCCTCCGATGTCGCCTTCTGACGAGTCTATGATGTTCACTTTTACCGCTTCCACTTCGTTACCTGTGGGGCCATCGGATGGTGTGAAGAGAGGTCGTCGTAGACCTTCCAAGCACGGATTGGTCGATCCTGAAGGGCTAGGAGAACACGAGGAGGACGATGGGGATGACAGCGGCGACTACATGCCCGCTCATTGAAGCTCCCTCATCTAATCAGCGTAGTTCTTCTATCCTTCCTGGGACGTTCATTCCTCAAATTTTCGTCATGTAATTCGTTCTTCGGCTCAGCGTTATCAACCCGCTGAGTCGTTGCATGGTCCCTACCCTCCGATATAAACGCTCGATGGACCGAACTCGCTTCCCATTCCTCGTTCTTTCTTTAGGACGTAATGTCCTTGTACTTTTCCTTTACGACATGGGTCGGCTGCGAGGGTTGTCCAATCAATCCTCGTATCTGACACCACCCTTCCTCCGCGCTCAAGGCCGATTTCCATTTCTGTTTACCACCTCGACATCACTGTCGATCTTCCAATCATTATTGAATAATCAATCGCAAGTTTGAATCCGTCCACTTGTCCTCCTGACCTGCTTCGCTGTAAGTGAAATGAAGTTTGTGCCCCTCGTGGTACTTCTGTTCTTTCTCGCTCCCTTTTGTCTCCACTTTCATGTGTTTTTTTATCTGCTTCTTTATCTGCTCTCCCAAATGACACCAAAGCAAACCTTGTTACTTGTCGTACTTATATTGTGCTAGTTTATCGATCCCATCTGTTCTATCACCTTCATAACGCCCTTCATGACCATCTTCCACTACTCTTTTTAGCTCTTCGTCTTGTTGTTTTTTCGAGATTTTTATCCCCTTCATGATGATTGGACTTTTCACATCCCAATCCAGTAGCATTTCTTTTCGCAAGCATATCACTTTATTCTTGCCTCTCCGCATCATCCTCCATACACAAGGAAACTCGAACTTTTCTGGATATTCGTATATCGCAATCATCCATTTTGTGATACCCCCCTCCCCTACATCCATAGTTGAGATTCCTTTCCCCTCCCTCACCCCCACAAGAACGCTTCTTTATCATCGTTACCCCAACTTGCATATGGATTTGCTACTTTCGTTAACTTGTTTTGTCTTAGTTTTGATGAGGAATGAGGAAGCTCTGATCACATGTGCCGCTCCATTTGTGTTCTGATTGCGATTTAGATATCCCGACCTCGGTACCTTTCAGAACAGATGCTTGGTTATGGGAAGTACCGATTACAATCATATTGAGAACCGGCATCCAAGAGAGGAAAGACAAGTGATTCAATTGCGAATGTTCGTTTAAAGGATGGTGTTCAACGCTGTTATAGAGTCGCCTCACAGCTGACATTACAACGGCAACATGGCCGAGTGGTCCAAGGCGCTGCACTCAAGTTCTAAAGAGCTTCTCAGATCATCTGAGTGAATTGCAGTCTCGAAAGGGGCGTGAGTTCGAGTCTCACTGTTGTCAAATATCTTTTTCTTTGGCTGGGTAACCATATTTTTGACTTGGGCTTTGAGGTGAAGATTCACATGTTTTTGAGCCGCAGTAGTGTATGACAATATCCTTTCAAGTCCAGAAGCTTATGACTCATAGTCCAAATTGCATTGTTCTATCTTTCGCGTTCTCGAAATACTACAAATTAGACGTGCAAGTGAACAATGGCGATGGAATCACCCGGGTCGGCATCACGGCATATTCAATTCATAGAAAGATAGAATAATAAGAATCAGAAGTTGTCTGGGGTCTTGGATCTGTACTGCCGCTTCAGGAAGTTTGGTGTGATTTCGCATTTTTTTTTCGTACAAATCTTCGTGATTGTGTACAGAAACAATCAGCCACTCTATTGATTCCCTCTAACAACAATCGGAAACAGCCTAATGAGTCAAAGCTTTACGTGACTCCACCCTCGGACTACGCGGCGACCTCGTTGCGCCTTTAGGAATCACGAAATCCCGCAGTTAGGCTCATCCACCAAGCGTTACAAGATTAT